CTGGATTAATCGAAAAATTCAGAAATCGAAAAATGAAAAAATCAAAAATTTTAATAATAAAGAAATTGAAGAATCGATGAATTAAAAAATCTCAACACTTCCAAAACTGAAGTGACGAACCAAAGTAAGGGGAACTGAAAAATTTAAAAAGGAAAAATCGAGAAATCAGGAAATAGAAAAGTAGAAAAATCGAAAAATTGAGACATTGAAATAGGCTAAATTAAAAAATTAAAATATCGAAAAAATTAAGAACCAAAAAACTGAAAAATCGAAAAGTCGAAAAACAAAGGCCTAGAAATCAAACGTTCAAAATTTAACAGAATCGGAAAATTGAAGAATCGAGAATTTGAAAAATAAAGAAAATAATAAGCCGAAAAAAAATTGCAAGTTGAAAAATTGAAAAATTAAAAATTGAAAACTCGTGAAATTGCAAATGTAAAAATTGAAACATCCAAAAGTTGGAAAATTGGAAAACTGAAAAATTTAAGAGTGAAAACTCGAAGAGTTGCATGTCGTAAAATTCAAGAAATAAAAAACCGAAAAACTGAAAATTTCAAATCGAAAAACTAAAGAAACGAATAAAAAATTAAATGGAAAAAATCGAAAAATTATAAAATCAAAACATTGGAAAATCGAATAACTGAAAAAATAAAGATGATAAAAACCTGAAACGAAATATTACAAATTGAAAAATTGCAAAATCTAAAAATTGAAGAAAAAAGAAAAATGAAAAATCGGAAAACAGCAAATTGAAAAATTGAAGAAAGGGAAAACTGAAAAAAGTAAAACTGAAGAAACAAAAAAGAATAATTGAAAAAATAAAGAAAATAAACAACCGAAATGAAAAACTGAAGAAATGAAAAACTGAAAACTGGTGAAATTGCAAATCGAAAAATTGCAAAATCTAAAAACTGAAAGATCCAAAAGCTCGAAAATCTAAAAACTCAAAAATTTGAAAATTAAAGCTCGAAGAGTTACATGTAAAATTACAGAAATAAAAAAAATGACAAATTGAAGAAATGAAAAATTGGAAAAATTGAAATTGGAAAAAGAAAAAATTATAAAATCGGAACATTTGAAGAATCGAATAATTGAAAAAATACAGAAAATAAACTGAAACGAAAAATTACAAATCGAAAAATTGTTAAATATGAAAATTGAAGAAAAAAGAAAAATGAAAAATCGAAAATCGCAAGATAAATAAAATAATAAACCGAAGCGAAAAATTGAAGAAATTTAAAATGGGGAAATTAAAAATTGAAACATCCAAAACTTGGAAAATCGAAAAACCGAAAAATTAAAAAATGAAAGTTCGAGGATTTGCATGTCGTAAAATTGCAAAAACTAAAAATTGAAAAATCGCAATTCGAAGAACTGAATAAACGAAACACTGAACCAATTATAATTGAAAAAATAAAAATCAAAATAATGTGATGACGTCACTTCAAACTTATGCATAGTAAATGGGTTTTAAATTGTATACAGTAACATAGTCCTACACATGTAGTTTATGACTCCGTGTTGAGTTTTTATCCGAAACGTTCAGATTTTTGGAAAAAAAAATCAAAATTATAAAACAATATTTTGCAATTTAATTTTGAATTTGCAAAATCGAATACTTTGAAATCTTGCAGATGTTTTAAAATCATGATAAACATGATACATTTTTAATTAAAATATATTTGCTTATCCCCTCTAAAAAAATTATGACTTCACCTCAAAATTTTGCAGAATAAATCCTATCTTAAATGTATAAAATATGATGAGTTTTATACTTGTGATTTAACACTGCATTAATATTTTATAGATTTGGTTATACAGGGTGTCTCAAAAAAGTTAATGACTGAGTCAATTTATTTTATTGAAGAAATCAAGAATAGCAAAACTGAATACTTTGAAATATTGTAGATGTTTTGAAGTTTTTGTAAGCATGGTAACTTTTTCGAAAATTTGATTAATCAAATATGCGCAAAATCAAAAATCGGAAAAACTGAAATTCACTAATGCAAATAACAGAAAATCGAAAAATACAAATCGTAAAAATCGAAAATTCAATTAATCAAATACCTAGGTCGATCGAAAAGTGGAAATTCACAAACCTCAAAAATCGAAAATTGAAAAACGGGAAAACCAAAAAATCGAAAAGTCAAAAATTTGTAATATTGAAAATTAAAAAAATCAAGAACAAAAATTAAAAAAATCGGAAATTAAAATAATCAAAATATATAAAGTAAAAAAAATTGCAAAGCCTAAAAACTGAAACGAACAGAAAAATCGAAAAAGCAAAAAATTGGAAAAACAAAAATACGAAAAATCTAAAATCGAAAAAGTGGAAAATCGAAAATCTGAATAAAGAAACTTGGAAGTTCTGAAAATTAGGAAATCGAAAACCAAAAAATCGAAAAGTAACAAAATTGAAGTCTAACAGTTGAGAATGGAAAAATTGAAAAACCGAAAATTCTAAAAATCGACAATGGACAAATTGAAAATCGCAAAATTCAAATTGAAAAATTGAAGATAGAAAAATCGATGAATTGAAAAATCGAAAATTCAACTACTCAAATTTTCTAAATATCGAAAAATTATAAAACTGAAAAATCCAAAATTCTAATCATCGAAAGTCTGAAAACTGAAAATCGAAAATTCTGAAAAGCGGAAAATAGAATATCGAAAAATTTAAAAGAAAGAAAATTGAAGTCTAAAAACCGAAGAATGGAAAAATTAAAAATCAAAAATTCGAAAAATCAAAACCGAAAAATTCAAAGATTTAAAAAGAAAATCGAAAAATAAAAAATCTGAAAATTGAAACTCGAAAATTTGGAAAATCGAAAAGTAAAAAAATTGAAGTCTAAAAGCTGAAAAATGGAAAACTGAGCAATCGAAAATTCGAAAATCAAATATCGAAAAACCGAAAAGCCGAAAAATCGAAAATTTGATAAATCAGGTATGCGAAAAACAGAAAATCTGAAAACACAAAACTGGAAAATCAAAAATCTAAAAATGGAAAAACCGAAAATCGAAAATTCAATGAATCTAATACGTAGGTCGATCGAAAAACTGGAAATTCACAAATCTGAAAAATCGAAAATTTGCAAGATTGAAAAACCGAGAATTGAAAAATCAAAAAACCGAAAAATGGAAAAATCAAAAATCGAAAAATAGGAAAACCGAAAATTCGAAAATTCATAATATTGAAAACTCTAAAAGTCGACAATTCAAAAATCGAAAACTGGAAATTGAAAAATCGAAGATTGGATAATCGAAAAATCGAAAATCGGAATATCGAGAATCGACAAATTAAAAAACCGAAAAATCGAAAAATTAAAAAATCGGAAATCGAAAAATGAAAAAAAAAACGAAAATTCAAAAATCGAATAATCCGAAACTAAAATAATAGAAAAGTGGAAAAGTAAAAATTGCAAAGCCTCAAAACTAACGAACAGAACAATCGAAAAATAAAAAAAAAATCGAAAAATATCTAAACATGGAAAATCGAAAAATCGAAAATCGGAAAATGGAGAAACCGAAAAATCGAAAACTCGAAAATTCGATGAAGCAAATACTCGAAAAAGCGAAAAGTAAAAAAATTGCAAGGCCTAAAAAGTGAAAAATCCAAAAATCGAAAAAACGACGATCGAAAAAAAATCAAAAAATCGAAAAGTGGAAAATCGGAAAGTAACAAAATTGAAATCTAAAAGCTGCAAATTGCAGAACCATAAAAACTGAAACAAACAGAAAAATCCAAAAACCACAAAAGCGGAAAAACGAAAATCGAAAAATCGTAAAATCAGAAAATGGAAAATCGAATAATCGAAAGTTGAAAAATAAAACAACCGAAAAATCGAAAAATTTTATGATTAATGGAAAATCGAAAAATCGAGAATAGAATAATTAAAAAGCCGAAAAATTGAAAAATCGGAAATCGAAGAATTAAAAACGTAAAATCGAGAATTCAAAAATCAAAAAAATCGGATAGTAAAATATAATCGAAAAATGCAAAAAAATTGCAAAGTCTAAAAACTGACGAACAGAAAAATCAAAAAATCTAAAAGTGGAAAGACGAAAAATCGAAAATTGAAAGAATGGCAAATTAAAAAACGAAAACTCGAAAAATCAAAATACCGCATATTTGAAAAATCAGAAAATTAGAAAGTAATAAAATCGAAAAGTTGATAGAAAAATGGAAACTGAAAAATCTAATTCGATGAAACTGTAGGTCGAAAAAACGAAAAATCGAAAATCGAAGTGACCTTTTTTAATGGAATGGTAAATCACAAGTATAGACTCATCATATTCTGAACATTTTAGATAGAGTATTTATAAAATTAAAACTAATTCAGGGTAAGAATTTGGTCAACACGTAAGTTTCGTTGTAGTTTGAGCCTACCTACAAATTCTGCCCTTGGACGATTTGGACCGCCTCCCTCGGTGACGACCGGCAAAAATGATCCGCCCATGGGCTCAAAACATTTGTACTTATAACACTGTTGTGAAAGATGTGTGGGCTTTTTGTTACTGCAACTAAATTAAATAATCATAAATATATTTCAAAAAATATTTTACTACTGTATTGGGATTGAATGCGATGTCGACTGATTATTTTGAGAGCCGTCCCTGGATTTAGGAGTCGGTACGAACACTGCAGGTAATTACGATGGGAAAAACGTCCCTTTTCTCAACAGAAGCTAAGTAATAATCCGCTCATTATTGGACTTAAGTGCAATATAATGTTCGAGTTTCTCTTACAGTCCATTTGTAAGTACACCCCATAAAATCAGAATTCCTATCTCGGACAATGCAGCAAAAATGCACTTCCACCCACCCCCTCCCGAAAAATTCCATGCCCCCGTGGGCCGCCGCCACGCGGAAATTGAAATCACCACTTAGTCCTCGCACAAACCGACAACCAATTGCCACAATAACTCCAGCGTGCCCCCATTAATCATATTTTCGGGAAGTTTAGACAAGACAAGACCCATCCATCCATCTCCAGCTACCTCTCCGACACGGCAACAAACGCCAGTTGTTCGGCGACTTTGCGCTCGGCTGCTTGCTGCTCCTCGACTTCTCAGTTCGCTTTCGACTTCCGACGCGAAAGTGCACCTCGAACCGTTCCAGCCGCGTCGCTCCGTTCCTCATCCACGACAGGCCGAGACGCAAGGCGAGAGCTCACCGGAAAAGCGCACAAAATTCGAGGTAAGGGTGCATAATTTCTTAAGAAAATTCGGACGTGTGGGGAAAGCGCGAAAATTGTTGTGTAAATTTAAATCGGATGCGTATGTGATGCAAGTGCGAGCGAAAATGACCCTTACTTGTACGATCATGTATTGCGATACGTAATGGTGTGCTTGCATTGTTACCGGTCAGGTCAGATGGTCGGCTCTTAATCAAATCGTGTCGCTCGGTGTGACGTCACGTGACGTCACGAGTCATATTGTGTAAAGATTGTGCACGTCGGCTGCGTCGTCACTTTTCAAAAGTAGGAGGCAGATTCTACTTTGATTAATTTCTATGAACGTGGGTGCAAGTCACAGTAACGTGCTTATTAATATCAACTATTAATAGTCGGTTATGAATTTATGACTAGAGTGAAGTTGTAAATCGATAAGATCAAAGCGGAAGGAAATCAGTGCGTGAATTTTTTGCACCGATAGTGTTTTTATTTTTTCCATGAAATAAATATAGAGTCACGGGAGAAATTATTTTGCAATAAGAACGTTTAATATCTATACCACGAGGCTAGTTGCAGACGATCTTCGGAAAGCGTGACCTGTGTATGCCTAAAGATTGTATGTGGTTTTAAAATAATTAATTATTATTTACTCCTTCCTAGTTTTGTACTTTGATTAATAATTTCTTTCGCTCCAAATACCGTATTTACATAACCCAGAATTCCGTTACCTAAAACGGGTTTAAAACAACATAAATTGTGAAAGAGTATTTTTCTGTAGACTTTTAATTCCCTTGTTTGAGCAAACTTTAACTCCACTCCGTTGTTTTTAGCCTTTTCAGATTCCTTTTCTGTTCAAAACTTTGAACACAATTTATCCATAGTGTGAATTTTACTTTACACAATGGCCAAACTTGTTCATACTTTTCTTTTTCAAAACTTCAGGTTTTCTCGACGTTTCGTGACCTCCAGAAAACGAAAAATAGGTGTCCAGTTTTCGTCTGTCCGTCTGTCTACACTGTAAAAATAATGTATTTTTTTAGATTTCGCCTCAAAAGTACGGTAAAAACACTACTGTAATATGGGTAATTATTACATTCACGTACGGTAAAAACACATTTTTTTACAGTGTACTAAACCGATGTATTAGAAATATCGTGTAGATGCCATTAACCTATACTGTGTATAATAATTGACATTTGACAGAGTCGGTGAAAAACATTAATTTTGTTATACAAAAGAGTGAGGTTAGATTCCATATTTTCATCGATTAAATGTTACGTTTATTTTGACAGGCTAACTTGATGATATTTTCAACTGAACGCCCAATATCCTAAAAGTATAGTGAAAATCTTTTTTTTGTCTTGAAAATTACCACGCGGAAATTAAAAAGATATGAAGCCGAAAACAACTTCTGGAAGTTGAAACCTGCAAATTTTTAATTATCCCAAAAATTGCCAAATTTCATATTGGCGATTCTAGAAAAATTATTTTCTTGAGAAAATGAAGAAAAAAAAATTCTGCAGGTCGAACTCTACAAAACAAGTGTACCTAATTTTTGAAAGTGGGCGCAAAAAATCGATAATTTCAAAATTGAAAATTCAGCTTTTGGAAATGTTCCCTCATAATTTACGAAAAATTCTGGGTTACAGATTTCGACGTGCTGATTCCAAAATATAGCGAAGCAAAATTTTTCGTAACATTGGATTCGAAAATTATTTTCTTTTTGCTTTCTTAAAACGCCATTTGTCAACTGAGGATTCTGGAAGAATGGTGGGAATTTTTGAGGGAATGAAGCCGAAAATAACTTATGGAAATTGAAATCTAGAGGAAATCTCATTACCTAATTTTTGGAAAAGATAGCTAAAAATCCACAAAAAAAATGTGGCAGGTTTCTGGTCTCAAAGCAATATTTTTGAAATATCCGGTTTGAGAGACGAAGTTTTTAAAAATCTCATCATATTAGCAATTCTTGAAAAATGGTAGCAATTTTTGAAAACAATGATCGTTTCTTCAGTTTTTTTATTTACAAATAAACACGATTTTTCATGTTTCTCTGGTGTTTTTGATTTTGGAAGAAACGAAAAACTGTAAAATCGAAAAATACGAATATTCAAGACACGAACCATTGAAAAATCATAAAAATTGAAAAATGGAAACTTAAAACTCGAACAATTGAAAACTCGAAAACTAGCGAATTGAAAAATTACAAAATCGAACCATTAAAAATTGAGAAATCGGAGAATTGAGAAATGGAAAATTTGAAAAATCGAAATAATGTAAAAAATAAAAAATAGAAAGACTGAAGAAACAAAATGTCGAAAAAGAGAAATTAAAAATCTTAACAATTAAATATGTATTTCGATTTTTTAATTTAATAATTTTTCGGTTTTTCGATTTTACGATTTTGCAATTTTTCGATTTTTTTAATTTTTCATTTTTCGATTTTACAGTCTTCCAATTTTTAAATAGGTGACTAAATTTTTTCATGTTTCAATTTTTCGTTTCTTTTTTTTGATTTGTCGTTTTTCATTTTTACAATTTTTGGAATTTTTAATTCAATTTTTCAATTTTGTAGTTTTGGCACTTTTTTATTTTATTATTTTTCAACTTTTCATCTCTTTTGAATTTTTTACTTTTACATTTTTTCTATTTTCTTCCTAATTTGTATATTTTTATTTCTTGATAGTTCCAACTTTGAATTTTGAAATTTTCGGTTTTTTTTTCTAATGCGATTTCTTAATTTTTCGTTTCTTCAAGTTTAGGATTTTGCGATTTTTTAATTTCACATTCTTTCGATTTTCTATTCGTTTTGTCTAATTTTAATTCATAGATTTTTCAATTTACGAGTATTTATCATTTTCGATTTTGCGACTTTTCATGCTTTTAAATCAATTTGTTATTTTTTGTGTGTTCAATTTTAGTATTTTGAATTTTTAATTTAATAATTTTTCGATTTTTCAATTTTTCATTCTTCTATTTCACGATTTTGCAATTTTTATATTTTCAATTTTACAAATTTTCTGTTTTTTTACTTTTTTCTTCAATTTTAGGATTTTTTAATGTTACATTTTTTCGATTTGCTTTTCAATTTGTCAATTTATTGTGACTTCAATTTTAGTATTTCTTTTTCAATTTTTCAATTTTAGGTGTTTCAATTTTTTATTTTTCAACTTTTTAATTTTTCATTTCTGCTATTTTGCAGTTTTTATAATATTTTTTAATTTTACGATTTTGCGATTCTTCGATTTTTTAATTTTCGGATTTTTTAATTTGTCATTTTTCGACTTAACTATTTTCCAATTTCCAAATGTTTTAATTTTTCGATGTTCCAATTATGTACTGAAAACTCGAAAACTTGCAGATCGGAGGATGGAAAAACCGAAAAAAATCTCAATCACGACACTGAAAAATCAAAAGATCGAATAATTGCAAACTGAAAAATTGAAGAATCGAAAAAATGAAAAATCGGAGAATAGAAAAATTCAAAAAATTGTAGAACGCATAATCGAAAATTAAAAATCGGGCAATCGAGAAATTGGAAAATTGGGAAATTGAAATATCCAAAAACAACAAAAATCGAAAAACTGAAAAATAAAAATATGTACTGAAGAAACCACATATTGAAAAATCGGAAAATTAAAAATCGAGATATTGAGGAATTAAAAAATCGAAAATTTGTAAAATAGAACAATTAAAAATCGAGAATTAGAAAAATCGAAAAATTTAACACTCGGAAAATTGCAAATTTTACAATTGAAAAATTGAAAAAGAATAAATATTGTAAAAACGCATAATGGAAAAATCGAAAATCCCTAAATGAAAAATTGAGCTTTTGGAAGTTGCCTAGAGTCTAATCTAGAGAAAAATCTGCAAATTTTTAGAAATCCCAAAAATTGCCAAATTTCATATTAGCAATTCTGGAAAAATGGTAGCAATTTTTGAAAACAATTACGTTTCTTCAGTTTTTTTATTTAGAAATAAACACGATTTTTCATGTTTCTCTGGTGTTTTTGATTTTGGAAGAAACGAAAAATTGTAAGAGCGAAAAATAGGAATATTCAAGACACGAAACATTGAAAAATCATAAATATTGAAAAATGGAAACTTAAAAATCGAACAGTTGAACACTCGAAAACTAGCAAATCGAACAATTAAAAATTGAGAAATCGGAAAATTGAGAAATCGAAAAAGAGAAATTTAAAATCTTAACAATTAAATATGTATTTCGATTTTTTAATTTAATAATTTTTCGGTTTTTCAATTTTACGATTTTGCAATTTTTCGATTTTTTTAATTTTTCATTTTTCGATTTTACAACTTCCAATTTTTAAATAGGTAACTAAATTTTTTCATGTTTCAATTTTTCGTTGTTTCTGTTTTTTGATTTGTCGTTTTTCATTTTTACAATTTTTGGAATTTTTGATTAAATTTTTCAATTTTGCAGTTTTGGCATTTTTCTATTTTATTATTTTTCGATTTTTCAATTTTAAATTTTCAAATTTTCGACTGTTCATCTCTTTTGAGTTTTTTAGTTTTACATTTTTTCTATTTTTGTTTTTTTTCCAATTCGATTTCTTAATTTTTCGTTTCTGCAATTTTAGGATTTTGCGATTTTTTAATTTCACATTCTTTCGATTTTCTATTCGTTTTGTCTAATTTTAATTCATAGATTTTTCACTTTACGAATATTTATCATTTTCGATTTTTCGACTTTTTATGCTTTTAAATCAATTTGTAATTTTTTTGTGTGTTCAATTTTTGTATTTCGAATTTTTAATTTAATAATTTTTCGATTTTTCAATTTTTCATTCTTCTATTTCACGGTTTTGCAATTTTTATATTTTCAATTTTACAATTTTGCAATTTTTCGATTTTTTTAATTTGCTAATTTTTCATTTTTCGATTTTCCAATTTTTAAATAAATAATTTTTTTGACGTTTCAATGTTTCGTTGTTTCTTTTTTTTTTGATTTGTCGTTTTTCATTTTTACAATTTTTCGAATTTTTAATTTGTAGCGCGATCA